CGCGCCCTCAAGCATGTGGTCGTCGACGATTCTCCTCTCACTATCCAGCGTTTTTGGTATTATCGGCTTAGCATTAGTACTAGCAGCTGCCCTTACTGATAACTGGACTGAATATCAGGTAAGTAATTGGGTCGGACTCAATTTCGCTTTTGGATTCGTTCCTTTTTTCATCCTCCTCCACGGTTTTCTTCTTTTTTTCGAATATTCCCTTCATTACTCGCTGATTACCGTATCTTTGCACTATTTCTTACAATTTCTCATAGCTCTCGGAGTAAATATGCACCTTCCCTTAGCACGTTCACCTTCTCAAACGTGCTCGACCATCGCTTTTGGTGGACGTTCACTTTTTTCTGCACAATTTTTATATCCCAGCTGACAGCCGGTTTCTTCCTCTCTTCGTGGGGGATATCTACAGTCTCCCCAGGTTTCCCATTGTGCCCCAAGTCTTTACCCACAAGTACGACCGCCCGACCATATTTCGTCTTATCCCACGCTTACCGTATAATTATCCGTGCCGCTGTACGGTTATGGTGTCAGGTGATGTTGCTGAGAACCTGCGAAAAGGACGAACGAACGTTGTTCGCACAAAAGGAGGGACAGGATAAAGAGAGATAGAGAGAGAGGGAGAGAAAAGTAGGCTACAGACGTCCACCCATGTTTCAACAAGCGCCGTAATTCACTGGAAGACGAAACATGTCGTCAACTATCCCAACTGGAAGGCGTTTTTTTTTGTACGATCGCAAATGGAAGATAATGGTTGTGTGCAGGTTGTTAATCATGCCCGATCTGGCCATCCTATGGTCAACTTCCGGTCCAAGGGTGGAGTGGACTAGTCGCGCTATCGTCTTCGGAACCCTCCGGTGGCAGCCGTAGTTATGGCAGCCAGCCAGATGATGGTCAGCTTGTACTTGACAGGTCAATCTGGCATTGTCTTGTCTACGTTCGTGCTTGAAGAGTCACGTGCCGCGCGTACGATAGTCGCCTCTTTGCACACCTTGACATTACTCTCATCTGCACATCGATCGATTCCACGATCGACGACGACGACGACCTCGATCGATCAAATAAGGCGCGGCGGGATTGGACGCCCGTTTTCTCCATTAAGGGGGGCAAAAGATGTGCTGGGGTAAGAACAACAGGTGCAGACGATAACGATGTGGACAGGTTATGAACGTGTACGAATGCCGTTCATAGCTCAATCCCAGTCTGTCCCTTTTTTTCTGCGGAATACGGTAAATAAGACAATTTCGTGCAGTTTTTCTGTGGTTATTACCACCCATGGAAGCAACTGGATACAAGCGTAGATGGACATTTCATCGCCCGTCACATCGAGGAGATTTAGCGCTTAAGTGGCTTGACGCTCCGCGATTCGACCAAAGCTATTTTTTGCTGGGTACAGCTGCACCACATACGTACAGCTGTTTGTCACACTGTCATGCACTGTCCGGGCAGAGGGGTTACGGCGCTTCTGCCAGCTGGACGTTCTCTCGCCGTGAGAGTCCAGAACTATTTTCTCGCTACATTAAAAGGAGGAAAACAAGCAAGAAGGAAGAGAGAAGGAGGAAAGGAAAAGAAGGGAGGGGACCGAAAGCAGGAATTAGGTGGAAAGCTTCGCGGTTGACAGGCAAGGTACAGCATGTGAATGATGTGTGAAATGGTGGTGTCAGTACGATCCCCCCCCTCCCTTCCCCAACACCTACCTACCACTTTCCTACAAGTTCCCGGCTTCCTACCACTTTTTTTCAAAATTCCCCACATTCAGTTTCACCCAAAAATTTCGCATAGAGCGAGGGGAGGGGCGGAGGGGGGGGGGGGGGGAGCTCTTCAGGAACTAACCTATTTTTAACTCTGGAAGTAGTACTTGAAACATTGGCTACGCCTCGAGCTAGGGAAGTGTAAAGCCAACGTGAAACGGGAAAAACCTAGAAAAGTCAAGAACCGGAAAAAATTTTTTCTAAACGCTGCAAATTTCTCTCAAGGTCACATACGACCCCACTTTCCCGACAACGACCAAATACGACCCCCCCCCCTCCCCGGCGGCTAAGTACGATCCCCCATGTGTGTCGACAACGATGCTGTACCCTGTTTTCAAATATTTTGAGGCCGGGCAAAGTTTATTGCTCTGCCCCTACCTATCCGTTGGTTTTCCTATCGCTAACCTCTGAATACACACGATCATCAAAAAGTATAAAAAGCAACCCTGAAACTGCCCAATAAATTTTATTTGATCAAATTTTCTAGGTGAATCGTCGAGAGGTAATCAACGCCTTCAATCGAGAACCGGAATTGAACGTACGACTAAAAGACGCGTTCGTACGAAATGTTAACTATTTCTCGCGAAATTACGGACTATTCCAGATCTGTTTTCCGGATTCTGTACCATCCGGTTAGTTAACGACCTTTTCACGTTCTTGTACGTTTCATGTTCTTCTACATTTACACAGCGTTTCTTTGGTGTATAACGTTCTGTTTGCATTCTCGCCGCAACATTCAGCGCTGAGTGCGTGGGATAGGGACCTTCTGGGTGGACTTGCTTACATTGACCGGGCGATCATCTGCACTCAAAAATCTTGTTCAGATATCGGTAGTTTCTCCAAATATGGCTCCCCATGCATCGATAATACCGATTATTTTCCTGTTGAAGCTGTACAGGAAAATTATTCTTCACAACAAACCCAACGTCTCTATTTTATGAGAGCCAACGTTGCTACTTATGTACTCGGTAAGTACTATTTATTTCATTAATAAGTTGTATTATAGTTTGGCTATCACAGTTGGTGGGGCCACACGGCCGCAGCAGGTTGCAGCGACTCTGGTCGTCTGCACTCTTGTAGGTCTGAGCTCAGGGGAAGGAACGGATCACTAGGTCCCCGGACAATTTACACTCAATCCCTTCAATGGCGCCAACTTTCTGTTTTTCTCAGTGCTCTCACGTCTGCATGGCTTTCTGCGACCACCGTGACCTTTCACCCTCTTCACCCTCTTTACACGCAGAGTGAGTGGCTCGCCAGCTGGAGCCCCCTCCCTCTGAAAAAGCTCGTCTCCTAGCTCCCAGCATGTTTTTTGTACCTCTCGATGCCTGGACATCCGCATTTCTTCATTTCTCTGCGCTCTGGCTTTTCGCAGCAGGACCCTCTCCATAAGTTTTAGCTGTCACGTAGGGGATCACTGGTTCACAATCAGTGGGGAAAGAGCGCAGACGAGCAGAGTCGCCGTGAGCGCCTCACTGTGGAACCATGCCCCCCCCCCCCCACCTGGACGCCTTGTGAACGTCTTTCGCTGTAATTGTGAAAGATTAATGAATGCTTTGCTCCAAACAGTGTTCCTTTCTCGCGGTCACGGTTCTTATCCGATTTACGCGTTGTCCATTAAAGATGTAGTAATTACCGGTGTTCTGTACTTCTGAACCTTCGCATTGAACACACTTTTTAGCACGGTATTGGCCGATTAATGAAAAACATTCGTAAATTGAGATTCAGACCTATATATTTTCGCGGTAGCCAAAACGGCAGTCATCACCTAATTTGCTCGCAAACTTTTTATCTCGGCCAACGCGCTCCGCCCTCTTCCGGATAGGTCACCATAAAGGGTTTCAATCACACACCTCCGTGTTGAAGTTTTTCAGGAAATTGGTTATTGATGTATGGTATATGGTAGCCCCATCATAGCACTATTGGATATATACATAATAAGAAATTAGGCACTATGTACCTTGAGGTAGGCTCGGGGCTTAGTCACGTCATGCTCTCTAGATGATAGGGTGCAGACGAGCAGACAAGGTGAGTTAGCCGCGCTGCCCCTCCCAAGTCTCGTAGCACCAGTGAACATTCAAATTTGACCAACTCTTGCAATTAGAGTTCTCACGAAGCGGCTATTAATGAGGAAATCCACTCCAGTACGCAGACTGAAAACCGCTTCATTGGTGCCCTGCTTTTTACCACCGGGGTGCACCGAAGAGCGTGACACAGTGGTTTTCTGTCTCCGCCCATCACGTTATCGTACAATGTCCCTTCTAATTTTTATACAAAGCTATCCAGTTTTATACGGGTACGTACGAGTTACCACATTCGGATGAGATTTTTCGATATGAGCCATTCGTCCCCATGATCAGGTTTTCCTGATTAAATGGAGAGTATGTTGAAAGATCAAAAGAGTAGGCTGAGTGTGGGCTGATGGGTCTGCTAGAGGTGGGGGTAACCTATTCCGTCTTTCAAGAGGGAGGAATGAGGTGGAAAAATAGGTGGGGATTCCCAGGTCCAAACCGTTACCAGCTCAAGGGAATCTCATGGTAGAAGTAACGGCTGTAGGCTGCATCGGTTCCTTCGGCAGCCCTCTCTTAAGTGGAAATAATCCCGCGAAGTTAGCGTTAGGCTCGCTCTCAATCGTAGTGATGATCCCTTCATCCCGAGAGTTTGAGCTAATCAAACAGTAAGCACCAAGTACAGTCGTAATCCCTTCAATGAATAGGGCGTAGGACAGGGGCATGGCTTGGAATGCAGCCAGGGCAGATTCCCCACCATTTGTAGCGGGCTCAAGATGGTACAAGGCAGCTCTGGATGCGCTCCTATACGCCCTGTCGTTTGCAAGGATCATGACTGTAAGGAGGCAGCAAAGGTTGGGTGTATGACAACACGTCCGAATTGCGCCAACCCGAGTAATCTAGCAGAGTACTTTCTAGCCGGTTGGTTGGACCTAGCACTGCCACGTTAACTCAGGTCCTGGAGCAAATATCGCGCACGTGGCCCCTCTTGCAACACTTCTTTCGTCGCAACATGGAGGTGTTGGACTACACCTCCCCCCTGCCTAAAAAAATCGAGAACTTCTCTGAAGATTTCTTCAATTTATACACCTTCTAGCGGCCAGAAATACCAATATGTATTATAATAACCAATATTATCGATCGATATGCATAGGACTCAGTCTGTCGCTTTCAAGTTGTTTTCCCTTTCGATATAGACTCCACAAGTTGAGAGCGTGACTCTCCGTGAGGAATTGAACTGATGAGCTTTGTGAGGTTCTATTTTATAGGTCTTGGCGTAGTGGTTGTCTGTTTGGCAATAGCTGGAATCGGATGTGCCCGACAATCTCGCAAGGCGTTCATGTTTGCCGGTGTCGGCCTTCTTCTCACAGGTAGATTACTGTAGTACACTTATTGTATGTAATTACGCAAGCATTTCATTACAACCTACGTTGAAACCGGAAGTGATTTATGAGAAATGACGATACGTTCATTTCCACCTAAAAAGACGATCTCGATCAATGACAAATGGATTTTTATTTAGTCCACGCTATTTCAGCGTTATAGGGCTAAAAATATTTTCATTATGGTATTTTGGGGAAGAATGCTTTCTAATCTTATCCTTCTCTGCTCTAATGGATCCTTACAAGGAGGGCATATCATCGTTTATCCTTTTGGAGGGGACAATCATCGGTTGAAGATTTCGGTCGAACCCATACGACCCCCCCCCTCCTTGGGAAGTAAGATATCACCCCCTCCACTCCGCACAACGCCAAAACGTAAATACGACCCCCCTCCCAAAAATGATCAAATACGACCCCCCCTCCCTTTACAACGTCCATGAAGCGAGAAAAATCAACTATCAAAATAAATTTTTCTCAGCCCAAATACGACCCCCCCCCCTATTGGGGATTTTCCAACAACGATGTGCCCTGAATACGACCTCCTCCCTCTCTTATAGCGAACGTGAAACAAGAAAAATCGACTAGAGAAAAAATTTTCTTGTAGCAATACGACATCCCCCCCCCACACTCCAACGACCAAATGCGACCCTCCTCCTGTTGGGGAATACCCAACGATGATGTGCACTGGAGGGGGCCCATCTGACCTGGTCATGTTTTCAGTGTATTTTTTCATAATGTTTAGAGCTGACGATCGGAGTCCCCCCCACTCTTGGAATGATATTCCCTTCTGAAAGTTTTCTAGAATAGAATTTTTCCCGAAATTCAGTGAGTCTGACTCTCCCTTGCCTCATCGCCTGCCTATTACAAAGCCTCTTAGGCCATCTGCCAACATGCTTCAAATCCATTTTCGGTGTAAAACCCCAAAATCGCTCGAAAAAAAATGATTGATTTTGCCTTGGCAGAAATCCAAAATCGATTGCAAAGACAACCATGAGGGCAGGTAGCCATCTATAAGTTCTAGGATACTTCATGTCATATTTAGTGACAATTTGTAGAAAATGCCTGCATTCAGCGCCAGAGACGCAGAGAAATGTGACTCTGTTTCTTTTGTACTATTTTGTTTTGTACTATTTCAGCAACTGCCGAGTTGTTTTTAAAGCTCTGCATGTTGAAAATAAGTAACTTATTGACTAAGTTTTGACCTCTATATGGACTCCCATTTTGGCCTCCACTGTCTGCTTTATTTTTCTATCAAAATTCTCTTTTTCAGTCCTGTTATTCGCTGTTTCAATGGCGTGTTGGCACTACGTAAACTATCTCGAGCGAGCTGTGCTGGAGATGTCACCATTCTACAAGTCGTGGGAACCGGTAAGCGAAGAACTTCTTCAGTTGGTTGTTACTGTTCAAGCGTTCTGTTTTTCATGGTCGATTGGGCTAGGACAGAGCGTGGGGCGTACATCGTTGCGGATTATGGGAAGATCAGGGCATATCTTCGACAGTCATCTATGGTTCTGGCGCTTCTCCAACTCTGCCGTCATCTTGATAAGGGTTTATTTCTTATGCGGGCTGACATGAGAGGGAGAAATCAAGGGCTCTGAGGCCATCAAATATAGGGATATAAAAGGAACAGAAAAGGGCTGCGAGATGGACGTTCGGGGAAAAGTCGATGGTCGCATTTGCGTGATGGATACGCGGGCAATGACGATGAAGGAAAAGAAACCGGTCGGGATGCCTGTCCTCAACGAGAGGAGGAGGAGGAGGACGAAGGAGGCGACGATCAACGAATGTTGAGCCACAAGAGGCTGACGATCAAGTGATGCGTACACAGGGTGGCTAGATTGAACTCTCAACAAAAACCACGGAAATCACTCGATATCGCGAATTATCGGGAATTCCTGTTTCTTCGTCTGGCACAATTCGTTCTGAGGCCTCTAGACTGCTGACTTTACCACAACTTTTCTCCAATGACGAACTTGTTCTGACCAGTACTACTCTTAGTAGGCTTACTGAAAGATTGGTGAATTGAAGGATCCAAAACTGCATTCTCCGAAAACCAACGCTTAAATGGACCGTTACCGGAACTAAGCCGTTACGTCTTCTTTATTCTAGCAAAGCTTGGCGCGATTCCGAGCTAATCCTATAGGATCACCCATTGGTCGTCCTTGGTTTCTGTCCTTTTGGGGTTCAGCGCGATTCCGTTGCGCGGCCACGTAACCGCGAAGACTTTTTGGGGGATCGGGAATACATTGATCGTCTTATTAAGGCTAGGAGTCCCGTTTGCATATCGATGATCAGTGGGAGTAGGACCATGGTTGTTTTGCCGTTGTGCTGGCGCCTGTGATGACGTCTGGGTCCCTCTGCATCTCTCGCGGGGATTTTTTGCTATGGAATCCCAAAGTAGTTATCTACTAAGACGGAGTGGTTATTTATAGTTGTGAGTACTGTTTAGGACGTACTACAGTTCTGAAGTAAGATACAGTAGGACTCAGCGGAGGCAAAATTGTTAGTTCCCGATTGAGAGAACCAGCGCATACTTGTTCTCCAGGTCTATGTAGAGTCACAAGTTCAGTGATGGTAGCTAGTTATAAGAGTTTTTCCAATACCAAACCTGATGATTTAGCGTTAGCATCAGCAAGATTTGGTGATAAACTAGCTCCTTACCAGTTGTTGAACTCCATCCACATTTATCCCAAACGATCTTGAGAACCACTTACTACTAACCAGTCATTTGGTAAAGCATAATTGGCGGAACGTCAAACGGTATCTGAGAAAGGTGGCGTCTAATTGAGGTCGTCGTCGTCGAACGTACTCAAGGTCAAGTTTTCGAGGACAATGATTCTCTACGAAAGGTTGCATCCGTGAAGAACGGCTGGAATTTGAAACATCAAGTCCCTTTATGTTAGCGATGTCCTTCGGAAAATGTGACGCTAATTGGTTTCGATATCGAATTCATAGCGGAAACTTTCATCAAGATCATTTATTATCTTCAAATATCGACAGCTATTCTCATCTACTGGATAAAGTTTTCGCAATTGATCATACTTCTTGGTATGCGACGCGCATTCTGCTTCCATTCAGAATGGTAGTTGCTTGTTGAATGTGACTTGCGTGGGCCGGCCGATGACTTTATCCAGGAAATAGTTGTTGATATTTGAAGATATTGAGTGATCTTGATAGTGTTCTTATCCACCTAGACGAATGTCGTACCCATTACCGGTCCGCGGAGGGTGGAAGGCTTGCTTGGCCCGGGCTGAAGCTGATCCGGGATTCGATCCCTCGAACGTGCACGTGATAAGCCTTTTGCCAGCACACCATTTACGCCTTATTATTTTTCAGTTATTGACAGAAATGTGACCATTTCAGATCCTCAAGTCCACAACGCGCTTCAACTTTGGCTGGTCATTAGTTGTGGCATGGGTTGGAATACTCTTTATCTTATTCGCTTCCGTCTTTTTCATCTGTTCAGCCAGCCGATTAAAGGTGAGTTTTAACTAGTTTCAGCCTGAGAGTGATTTTTTTCCATATTTGGCTTTCTATCATAGTGACCATGGTAAGTTACCTGAGTAAAGCTAAGGTTATGGTAATGAATTCCAACATTAGAGGAGGAGGTTATAATGGTATTTGTCGCCTTTGCTGCCTATTGAGTCAAATTTGGCCTTGGACTGGAAAAACATGTTTTCCACTGCGGTTTTTTTTCCTGTTGCACCCGATAATAATCGTTTGGTTAGTTGAGGACAACAAAATTTACACAGGAAAGCCTTTACGGACCACCTTGTAAAGACCTGTAACCCCTTACAACCGAAGAGGATCTCTCGAATCATTGCCCAGCTTCAGGAGAGTTCCCACGAAAAGCTAGTGTGTTAGTGAACACGACCTAGCAAAAGGGACTAGCAGAAGCGCGAATTGCCCCTCCAAAGCCAGTAGTCCCTTCTCCGCAGGCAAAGGTGGCGGGTGATGTTTGCGTGTGCCGAGTGGCATGGGAAATGTATAGGCTAGGTGATGTTGGATATAGGCCATATATGACGAAGGATGCTGGGGAGATATCCGACGTTGTCGGATATGATGTCGTAACGTACGCACGAACGCTCTGGTCTACTCGCTCCGGAATGCGCTCTCTCTAACCCCCGCAATTGTGATGCGATGCTATCGTGTCGATCAGGCTTCCTTGACCCCGACTCGCGACTGTCTTAGTCCAGGGTCGACAAAGTCGCGGCTATCTCTCTCTGGCGCTCTGCGCTTGCCGCTCGGATACGATGACAACGACGAGAATGATGCGATTACGACCTACACTGTGGATATGCCGACATTACCGTATACTGACTCACTTAATAACGTTACAATACATTACCGTGAACGTCATCTGAAATCATTCACGTAGGAATGTCGTTGATTACGCGATTTACGAGTCATGGCGAATAACTGGTTATTGATGTGATTGTACGATGGTCGTATCGAACTACTTGCATCGCCTGCTTGTCAGCTTTGGCGCCAAAGGTTCCCGTTGCGATTGCATGCTATTTTTTTCCACTTCGTAATGCTGCACGACTGACGGAATGACTGGTTTATTGTCGACGCGGCAATAATGATCTTTATCGCGTCTCGTCTGGCCTCGAAGCCTGTCGTCTCCGGCGATTCTACCTCAACTACCAGGTCTTGGTTCATCTCCTGGGACAGTACCGGATTCCCTTGCGGAACTCCTGTAATACATTCCTAGAAAGGGACGACGACTATGATCCTGCTGACTGTGTGCGACATGTATCGATATCCATGAGACATTTACTTGCAGTACTTCTGCAGCACCTCCTGACAAGTAATAGAGATAGGGTTCCTGACAACTAGTAGACAAGTGTTACGGTTGGTAGGGGCTAGTCATGAACAGCCCATAAGTAACTCCCCAGACAAAAAAAGAAGCGAAGAACCTTGGGAACACTCTGAACGGAGACCCCTCCTCAGCAGTGGAGCGGACGCCTTAGACGTGTTTGTTGGACGGTAGGCAAGCCCAACCAGCAGGATTCAACGTGCAACCAATCCCCGGCAAGAGCACAGGAAATCACCCTACGACGCTCCAGGCAACGCTATGTACACACGCAATTCCGCTTGTAAGCCGTTGTCTTGCAGAGTGAAAGTAATCGTGGTTGCAATGGTTGCAATAATCACGCGTCTCTAGCTTCTTTATCTCGCCGTTTCGAGTGACGAAAGTGGTATATTCTCTGCGAATGCGGACAACGATGCCAAATGCACGGAGGCATTTCGCGGACCACTTGATCGCGGGAATGTCTTTGAATCTACTGTCCCCAACTGCTGCTCTCATCGCCTAGCACCTTCAGAACAAAACAGACTCACTATCAAAAGAATGTTGGGCTATGGTCAAAAGCCTTGACCCCGTTTGGGTTTGTACCTGCAAAACACTTTTCCGAGCGAGTGCGCTACCCGTTACGCCATCATTGACACTCCTATGTTCTACGCTTGGCGGTGAGACTCACTGTATTAATAGCTGAACCAGTTTCCTATGGCGAACTGCCCAAGGGCATATTTTCGTGTGAGGGTCCTTCATTTGATTTCGGTCATCGATGTACACAAAAAGGGTCAGACGCGGGTAGAGAAACCCTCGAGGAGGGTCGCATTTGAGGAAGGCGATCGCAATCCACCCAGTTCAATTTTTTTTAATTATTGAATTGTTCCGTCTCAGGTGTGTTCCCATTAGTCAGCAGCGGTCAGTTCCACTAGTTCTCGTGGTTGGCCGCAGGTGTCTACCGTGAATTGGAGTGGGACGGGGAACACTGCTCAAGGTCTGGACCGTCACGTCAAAGGAATGAAAACTCAAGTCAAATAAGTTCGAATTTACGAATAGCATTGAGGGTAGCTGTCATGATTTTCTATTTGTAGCTGGAGTGGTGATTATTGTGAGCCCTGTCAGGTCTGGTACAGTTCGGTGCCCTGATCACGAATATGACATTAGTTTTTGGCGCTGGCCCCATCTAGCGCCAGTTCGGCGCCGGGGCTGTTTGGACCCAATTTGGCGGCAACAAATGGCGCCTAAGGCTGATTTCAAATTTTCATAACAGTTATTGATTAACTTTTCCCTTTTTTTATGGGGTCAGCTGACAGGCAACTCGGCTATGAGGAGGGAAGGGGGGTAGAAGGATGCTCCTTTCTGCCTATCCGGTGTGCGCGTCCTCTTCTATCTGTTCCGCACGTTCATATGAACAAGAGAGCATTGTGGCGAGCTTATTTAGGCAGAGTACACCTGTACCCCTATTTTTTCCTTCTGAGGAAAGGAAAAAAATCGTGAGGACTTACAATCCGTCCGCGAGAGCGATTATCCACCCAATTAGAAGACAAACCTCGCGATTGTATATTGTGGACAGCGGCGTTCAATTGCAAACCTACAGTCGCCAAATAGCTCTTCAGGGATGGAAAAGGCAAGAAAAATCATGGGGAACCTACCCTATGTAAGGACCTTGCGGCATCTCTGGACGAGTTCTCC